TTTGACCAGCGAATTAGCTTGGCGGGTTGCAGAAAGATGTTTGGTAACTTAGTTGTTTGCTTGTAGCGGATAATATGTAAAAAGACAAAAAAGGACATTTTAAAAATTTTGCATTTTTTTGTTTTGTTTAATATGAAGTTAAATTATGACTATACTAATTTATACATACATAATATATGCGAGTAAATTATTTTAAAATTAACGAGAAATTTCATTAAGATAAATGTAGTAAAATTTATGTGGTTCTAACCATTCTTACTTAATTCTTACTCCATCAATTAAATATTAACCACATAAATACACTTTTTCTCAAAAATCGTGTCACTTTATCTTGTTTCAATGTTAGTGAGCCGGATGTAGTAGAATATTAACCCCACAAATTGAAACTCACAACGACCGTGTGATGATTACAATTCATGTGTGCTAGTCTGGAACTTTCGTGCGCACGAGTACAAGATCTATCACCATTAGACTGACTGAGTTATCATGACTTACAATCTCTCAAATGTCTTGTCAGGTCGAGGCATAAGAGACCCTTGGAGTTAAGGATTCAAACATTGAAAATATAATAATGACAATGCAATTTGTGCATTTGTCTATGTTTTAGTCCATTTAATAAACTTTATCTATTAGAACTCATTTTTCATAATACCGCACACTTTTCATTGAACTCGTTAAAATCCTTAAAGACCACTTGGAGTGGTGTAAGATTAGGAGTCCAAAATGTTAAAAGTAGAAGTTTTGGACTCCTAAATCCTTGTTGTGGTTGGCTCAAATGGGGAGTAAAAATGAAGAAGGGGATGGAGGGGATATATTTGAAGGGTGTCAAGAAGGGAGGCTAAAAGAAAAAAAGGAAGGGGAGTGAGGTCATACAAATGTCATCCTTGCATCATAATTTCTTAATTTTTTTAAAACTTATATAACTTTTTTATTTTTTCTCCAAATTTTTCAAAAAATATATCAAAATTCATAAATTTTTATGATCTTTTATATGACACCAGTATGTAATATACAAAATGAAAGAAAATATGAAGTTTTAACTGTTGAAGTTTTCTTGAGCCCAAAAAAAACATGAAACACAAAATTTTAATTAAGGAGCCTTTACAAATAATTGAATACTCCATAATCAAAATTTACTTGAATTAAATTCATTTTTTGTTACCCGATAAACTTTAAAAAGAATTAATGAAATTTATTTATTTTCACATCGAAATGTGTTTTTTTATTTTATAATTAACTAGAGAAAAAAAATAAAAGGAAAACATTACTTATAATAATTTAATTAATGTTTTACTGAGTTGATATGTAAAAAAAGAAAAAATTCCACTTTTGGTCCCATGACTATTATACCACTTCCACATTTAGTCCTTGACTTTCAAATTGTCCACATTTAGTCCGTGAGAATGTTCCCCTCATCACCCGTGGTCCTTCCGACCAACATTCCGACCAACTTATGCCGGCAAGAATTATAATGACATTAATGAAGGGTACTTGGGTCATTTTAGATACTTAAAACGGCTACCTGCAAAAGAATCTCCAACCTAATTACATCTCACCTGCACTGAACGGAGGTAAATTTCTTCCTCTCAAACACTCTCCTTCTCGAAGAAGAAGCTGTGCAGAGATACGATTATACGAAGATGAGGAAACGACCGCCTGGAGTGCTTACAATTGGAATGAACCGTAGGCGACATGGAGAAGGAACAAGTGGTCAAGGAATTTCACCAGAAAAAGATAGTGGTAAAGGTAAGTCAATGAGTTTGAGATAACAGGAATGTCTGGTACACAACATGGGGGTGATCTGGAGAAGAGAATGTGTACATGTAGGATTTGGGACGTAACAGGGATACCTTGCAAGCATGCAGTGTGTGCAATTTGGATGAAATTTGGAAGGGGGCCAGTAGATGACTATGTACACCCTAGTTATACAAAGGAGACATATATGAAGATATATGGGGGTCCATAAAGCCAATGGCAGGGCCACATGAGTGGCCTATAACAGACAAAATACCTTCATTTCCACCTTTGTATTATGCTAGACCTGGAAGACCTACCAAGTTGAGGAGGAAAAATGCAATGGACTTGAGCACTGATGGAGTGAAAGTAGCAAGAACACATGTAAAGCTGCATTGTACCAAGTGCAAGAAGCAATGGCATAATGCAAGGAGATGTCTAGATGATCCAAACAACAAGGAAAAATTGGTATACTATAGTGTACTTTCTGATTTGTTGTGTTTGTTTTTATGTTAATTTTATATGTGCAGTGTTGATTTTGTTGTATTGTGTTGATTAAGTTAAGATTGTATGTGGTATTCTATACTTAGATGCAGCCAAGGAAAAGAAGTAAGAAACCTAAGAAAAAGCAAAATACTGGGGATGAGAGAGCTTCTACTGTCCAACAATTTGATGAGGCCAATCTAGTAGATATCAACATGGTTTGTGCACAGGAGTCATCATTTGGAAGTGAAGTGCCTGTAGTTGTCACTGTAGAGGACACTGGTATATTCACACAAGACACACAACACACATTTGGAAGTGAAGTTCCTGTAGTTGTCAATGCTATGTTCAGTCAAGAAGGGCAAGAGGCTATGTTCAGCCAAGAAAGGCAAGAGGCTATGTTCAGTCAAGAAGGGCAAGAGGCTATGTTCAATCAAGAAGGCAAGAGGCTATGTTCAGTCAAGAAGGACAAGAGGCTATGTTCAGTCAAGAAGAGAATGCCGAAGTGAATCAAGAAAATAGTGAAGAAGAGAAGCAAGAAGAGAGTGAAAAACCAAAACTGAAAAAGTTACTAGTAAAAAAGGACCAAGTTATGGTACTAGATCAAAAAGTACATTCAAATATGTGTTCTTTGTAGGGGTGAGTTCGGTTCTTGCGGTTCGGTTTGACCTAAAACCAAATATAGAATCAAAGTAAAAAGTTCGGTTCGGTTTTGGTTCGGTTCTACACTCCAAAACTTGGAACCACGATTTTAATTGGTTTGGTTTGTTTCGGTTCGGTTTCGGTTTTTTCAGTTTTTTACCAAAAAATCATCATTTGATTTAAAATTGATATAATACTTTGAGGGATCAAACATATATTACATAAAGAATGCAAGCACACTACAACAAATAAAATAAAAATGAAAATAAATAAATAAGTCATGAATTATATGAGTATGCGAGAGAGATAAAAGTATATATTGTTAATTTACATTGTTTGTGACTAGTTCAAAAAAAGTTCATGAGTATATACGTTATATGTGATATAGTTGAGATAAATATTTATTGTTTCATCAATACGAATTCTTTAAGTTAAATAAAAATAAAAGTTAATTAATACTAATAACAAGTAAAAACATATTATCAGTATAGCTACATTATTACGTACAATGAATGTGTAAATGAATTCACAAACTAAACTAAACATAACAATCATTATTTCTCCAGCACAAGAAAACCAAAACCTATTAATGATATTAGGATTAGTTAGGATTAATGCTTAACAATGGACAAATAAATTTTACTCCGTATATTTTAACTAGTTCGGTTTGTTCGGTTCGGTTCGGTTTTGAAGGGTAAAAACCAAAACCGAACCAAACAACTACGGTTCGGTTCGGTGTTTTACATTCGGTGTCGGTTTGTTAGCGGTTCGGTTTTATTTGGCTACGATTCGGTATGATTTGATTCGGTTTTCGGTTTTCGATTTTTCGGACCCAGCCCTAGTTCTTTGGGAATGATGATGCCCCAATTGACTTAGATTAGTTTGTGCTGCAATTGAAGTATGTTTTTGGTTTTCTGTAATTCTGTTAAATGTAGTGGTCTATTTTGGTGAACTTCTATGTAAGGTGAACTTCTTTTTGCAATATGATGTGTAATTTCAATGATGCTTTGAATCTATGTTTGTGTATTTGTAACATCTTTGTAAGTGATATCAGTTTATGACATATCAGTTTGGTGACCTTACTTTGTAGCATGTTTCCATACCATATGAGATATCAGAGATATGATTCCCAGAAAACAGAGTAACTACACAACCATTGTCTAATTTTCAATCCAAAACAAAGATATCATATATTATGCTCCAAAAACTATTCAAATGCATTGCTAACCAACTCAAAATAAGCTTTCAGTACAACAACAGTCTCACACCTCATGGGTGCATCTAAACCATAAGAAACATTACACAACTTAATCATTACAACTACATTATTAGACTTTCATATAAATTGATACAAATACAACAACTGAAATAATACAGATAATTTGAGGAAACAAAAACAACAATCCAAAACGTATTATTCAAGAATTTATTCAGAGAATTTATTCAAAAATTTAAACGTATACCGCAATCAAGACGAACAACAAAAACCTGAGTTCCAATGCATTTCCAAAACCTTCTCCCACTCTTCCCCGCTTTCCATGTTGTCAAAAGCTTCATTTGTTGACCACATTCGCAATAGGTGACCGGAATCCGCTCGCCATATTTGTATTGACCTATTGATTTCGAACTTGCAGCTTCACAAGTAGACATCTCCGCTTCCAAAGAATTAGGGTTCACTGCAATTGAAGGCCTGAGCTTCGTTTTGGTGAAGGTCGTATAAGACGTTAGGTAGCAGGAAGTAAATGATAATAAATGACCCAACTACCCTTTATAAATGTCATTATAATTCTTACCCGCATAAATTGGCCGGAATGTTGGCCGGAAGGACCACGGGTGGTCAGGGGAACATTCTCACGGACTAAATGTGGACAATTTGAAAGTCATGGACTAAATGTAGAAGTGGTATAATAGTCATGAGACCAAAAGTGGAATTTTTTCTGTAAAAAAATGCAGAGTATATTTTATTGACGGTGTTGGAATGTTGAAAAATAGAAGTCAAAACACTGTTTTCATATGCACGGAGTCTATTTTTGACATATAGACTCTTACACCACTCTAAATAGTCTTATTAGGACAAAAATAATAATTAGGGAAGGCGTATAATACGGATTACGGAGAAGAACAGTGCCCAATACGACATGCAATATAATACATCAGGCCAAAAAAGGACACGGAAATAATGTGAAACAGTCTTTTAATTATTTGGACTTTTGTCGTTGGCAACCGGAAGCCGCAGCCGGAAATCATTCGTTCTCATTTCACTGATAAGAACCCAGGTCGCTCTCAGAAATTGTTGTATTGTGCATTCATTCATATCTGTCTCTCCACAGGGAAACCCAAAGAAGAAAATCCCAAGTGGATTACAGTGCAGAGAGAGGGAGCTATCCATACCCAAACCATAAAGGAAACCCCCACTCCGATCTTTCCCCATCAATAAATACACACTCTCCCCACGCCGGTAAAGCCACACCCATTTTGCAGCATCATTTCATCTCCCAATTCCTGTCTTCAAAGAACGCTCAAAGCTCTTCTTTTTTTCTTCCCCTTATTCATTCTCTTCCCTGCGGCTTTTGCAGCTTTTTGAGCCCCCGTCTTTATCCCTCGCCGCCTTTTTCCGCTTCCAGCCGCTCCGCATTTTATGCGTACTGTCTTATCAAATCTCTGCATTTAAAGTGGAGCTCTCGGTTTGGGTACGCAGGGCGGCCGGGTCACCCATCTTCTGACATAGATTCTGATCTGTCATTAATTCTTTGTAGCTCTCTCTGTCTGTCAACCCTCGGAAATTAAACATCTTTGAACCACTTTATATACCCCTCCATTCCATGCTGTGAACTTGTGAATTTCTTCCCTTCTTCCGGCCCGAATTGAAAAAACAAGAAAGGGTTTATTCACTTAGTTGATTAGTTGAAGTGGCATCACTGCTGAGACCGTTCTTGCGGCAAGAAAGGTGCGTTCTTATGAAAATGGAATAAAGACTGTTTTTTTAAAGAAGGGACCCTTTTAGGATCTGGTGGGGAGTTGATGAGTTTTTTTTCGTGGGTGTTTTCAGAAAATCTGGTATTAGCGTACAAAATCGAAAATATGTCGTCTCTGAAGCAAGCGGAGGAAGCAATGGTCTCCGGCGAAGTCGAACATGACAACGTGGGTGGATACAAAGAAGCAGGCGCCGGCGATGAGGAAGAAGACCAGCCGATGTCCGGTCTGAAAAGCTTTCTCTGGCATGGCGGCTCTGCTTGGGATGCTTGGTTTAGTTGTTCTTCCAATCAGGTAACACCTCCTATTTACTTAAACCATTTTTTTTTCATTTCTTTAAAAAGAGCTCCAATTGGAAGAGAGCTAAAAACCAAATGATAAAAACAAACAGGTAGCTCAAGTACTGTTGACACTGCCATACTCCTTTTCACAACTGGGGATGCTATCAGGAATATTGTTCCAAGTCTTCTATGGTCTGATTGGCAGCTGGACAGCTTATCTTATCAGTGTCCTCTATGTTGAGTACAGAAGCAGGAAAGAGAAAGAAGGTGTTAGCTTCAAAAACCATGTCATTCAGGTAAAATTTGATTTTTTTCTTATATAAAAAATCTTCAATCTTGATCAGTGTTTCTAGTAAGTAGTACGGAGTATTATTAGTATATACACGGAATATATATAAAAAAATACGGAGAATGTTTTTAAATTGTTATTAGAAATCATTTAAGACAAATGTATAATAAACTTCAAAGTAACCAGTTTCACTAAAAAGTCAGACATACACTATCTTTTAGAAGGGAATATGCACTTTATTTGTCGCTAAAAGGCTAACTTTGATTTCCTTTCCGATGTACGTTGTACAAAAAAAGGCTAACTTTGATTGACATTTAAATTGACAAAGTAAATACGTTGTTGATATTAATTAAAATAAAGAGAAGCAATATGAACTGCAAATTTATTTACTAAACTGAAAAGTGAGGTTGTTTTTTAGTTAAACCGAATTTTTAGGAAATCTTTTTGGGGAGAGAGGAAGTATATACCATTACCATCCAACTCTGATTCTCTTTGTTTATTCTTATAAAGTCATAAAAAGATTTACATGTGTTTGACTGAAAGTCTGAAACTAGCTTCGATATTTGCATGCAGTGGTTTGAAGTGCTTGATGGGCTTTTGGGCCCATACTGGAAAGCAGTTGGGCTGGCCTTTAACTGTACTTTCCTTCTCTTTGGATCCGTGATACAACTCATAGCTTGTGCAAGGTATGTACACATTGCATTCATGCAGTTCAAAAACCATCCGAAAAGTGTGATTTTTTATAGCAAAAAAAACAAAGGTTGGTTTGTAAATACTGTGAATATGTAACAAACAGCAACATATACTACATCAATGATGGGTTGGACAAGAGGACATGGACTTACATATTTGGAGCCTGCTGTGCAACCACTGTCTTTATTCCTTCATTCCACAACTTTAGGATTTGGTCTTTCCTTGGCCTTGGGATGACCACTTATACTGCATGGTATCTTACTGTAGCAGCTCTAGCTCATGGTCAGGTAATCACATATCATATATTTTGCGTTTTCTTTCATTTCTCACTAATAACTATTTTGGACAAAAAAAAACTATTTTGGACTTTGTGGAGTATAACAAGGTCATATTTTATTTGTATTACTTTAAAGGTAATGATAGAATGAATAAAAAAAGTGGATATAATATATCTTTAAAGTACTCCTTAACTTATTAAAGAGAATTTGCATTTACACTCTCACTTGATTAAAAGCTATGTCAGTCAAATTTATTCAAATTCAATTAAGGGGTATGAATTATTGTTTTCTACTATCAGATTGAAGGGGTACAGCACACTGCACCAACAAAAGCAGTCCTGTATTTCACAGGTGCTACAAATATTCTATACACTTTTGGAGGGCATGCTGTCACTGTGTAAGTCTTTATTGATCCTTTTCCTTTAGTCCATCATCATCTTTTAATAAACCAATTCATATACTGCGTATGTATCTTGTGCTGTTTCAGGTACACCTCATGTATAGATAAAAATCACATTAGTTTTTATGTTTTTTGCTAGTGTTCATCTTTATTAATCTGGAGCAATATTTCTTCAAATGAGCCTGCCGTGTTGTTTATTATTTCATAAATCCTGCTCAAGTAGTGTGCTTCTACATTCTATGCATTATTTAATGACATTGAGACAAACAAGTAACAGAAGACCATAACTTTGATTATTATGTATGTATACTTATCCCTAAAATTACAGGGAAATTATGCATGCAATGTGGAAACCACAGAAGTTCAAGTACATTTACTTGTTTGCCACTCTATATGTATTCACCCTCACCATTCCTTCTGCAACCTCTGTGTATTGGGCATTCGGGGATGAACTTCTAGACCACTCAAATGCCTTCTCCCTTCTTCCTAAGTCCAGGTGGCGTGATGCTGCTGTCATCTTGATGCTTATTCACCAGGTCTTTGTTTTACATGACAACATCACTCTATGCTTCATCATTACATAGGGAAAACTCTATACATAGGACTAAAACATAACATATTTTGTTCGGAAAGTAGGAGTGTAGGACTCACTAACTCCTAGAATAAGAACTATTAACTACCTTTATATATAACTGAACTAGTCCTACTTACCACTAAACAAGAATACTCCGTTTCGTGTGTTTTACTTTTTTTTGGATGAACCTGTAAATATATATATCATCTGAAAAATAACATGTACACATGCGTCCAAAACTATAAGAGCACCTACGAACAAGTTTGGTCACCAACTAATCAAGCGAGACGCACACCCAAAAAAGGGGCCGGTCCAAAAACAAACAAGGCAAAACAAGCCATCAGAGGGTGTTGCAAGATGCACACACCAAAAGTTCAACAAAACATACACAAGCCGTGGCTAAAGAAATCAAAAAGTGATCAATTCACAAGGATAGATGTTGTAGAGAATCTTGTAAACCAAGTGTTTTTACTTTTATGAGTTTATCTGAAGTAGTTTATTTAATACTACTAACTAAAGCATCATTTACTATTTGTTTAAAAACATCAGTTCATAACATTTGGATTCGCATCGATGCCATTATACTTTGTGTGGGAAAAAGTGATAGGGATGCACGACACAAAGAGCATTTGCCTGAGGGCACTTGCGAGGCTGCCAGTAGTGATACCAATATGGTTCTTGGCCATAATATTCCCGTTCTTCGGCCCAATAAACTCGGCTGTTGGGGCACTTCTTGTTAGCTTCACTGTCTATATTGTCCCTTCCCTTGCTCATATGCTCACGTATCGCAAAGCCTCTGCTCGCCAGGTAATATTCATGCTAAATTCTTCTATACTTTTCTCGATTTAAGAAAATATGATACCCTGCAACAATCTAAAACATACTTCTACATCAGAACAGTGCATATTTTTTACTTCATAAGGTTTAATTTTTAAAATCGGCACAAGGTCATCCGAAAGTCTAAGAAAACCCTGGTTGTCCAGGCTTGACAATCTTAGTGGTTCATACCCCATAACAGAATAACACGTGACCCACTAGAACTAGTATGTCTCATCTTGTGTTTATCTTGCTGAATTTAGTGCCAGCCATTAATTCTGGTGTGAATTGCATTTCAAACTACAGAATGCTGCAGAGAAGCCTCCATTCTTCTTGCCTAGCTGGACTGCCATGTATGCTGTGAACATCTTCATAGTGGGCTGGGTCATTGTAGTAGGGTTTGGGTTTGGAGGATGGGCCAGCATGACAAACTTCGTGAAACAAGTGGACACGTTCGGGCTTTTCGCCAAATGCTACCAATGCAAGCCACCCAAGCCATTAGCCCCTCCATCCCATGCAGCACCTAATGCCACCATCATCCACTGAGCCCAAATAACCTGCTCAGCTTGGTCAAACTCGTTCTCAAAAGTTATTACACATATACATGGGGAGATAGTAATACTCCCCTCTCCCCTACATGCATGTGATGTATGATGATCTTCCTCTTCTTCCCATTTTAGTGTTTGGCTTGATGCATGTTTACAAATTAGTATTAGATCAGACAGTGCTTATTTGTGAGTATTCTCTTCCAAAGCATACATCAATGGAATCATCACTTGATAATACTTCAAATGGTTGGGTGTTTCTTTTTTCTTATCTCCCCTCCTCCCCCACCACTGCAATAACACACATACAGAGTGGTTTTTGGATGTGGAAAGATAATGCACACACAAACATTATACAGAGAGTGTTTCAGTATTTGGTTGGACATTTTGACCGTTGTGTAATTGTTTTGTGTGTGACATTGCTGATACGCAAATTAGGGTGTGTTTGGATCTACTGTTCTCAAAGCACTTCAAAGTTCCAAGTGCTTCTAAAATCAGTATTTTAGTTGTTTAAAAATGCATCTAAGTTTAAGTAATCTTCACATTTTCTCTTTCTGGTGAAGAATTTATGGACTTGATCCAGCCTTTGTTTCCTGGCAGATAACACTTTAACTAAATCCTTTGAGTGAAGAAACAACATGATGTATGTTAGGCCGTACATATAGATTGCCAAGATGCACATAATTCCATTGCCAAGAACCATTGATGGACTCGGGCCGGGTCGGGCCGCCGGGTTGTATGACATGGGCCCGGGACCGGCCCGAGGGTTGGACGGGTCCGGTTCGGGCCGGGCCACCCGCCCGGGTCATGGGTCGGGTCCGGTTCGGGTCGGTTAATTTTTTTATATATAATTTATAGTTTATAGTTTTATACGAGTATTAAAAACAAACTTCAATTGCATTTATTTGAAATGAGATAGGAATTACATTTGAAAATTAAAACAAACTTTAAGAGATAAATATTTTGAAAATTGTAATCAATCGGAACTTCCCGCACCTCCCGATCCTTTGACTTTGTCACATGACTTCATATGCTTGATTGCCATCCCGAATCCGCCTGAAACCCCCATGCTACATTTTTTCTCGCACCATTTGCAAATTGCGTACCACATCCCGGTCTTCGGGTCCTCCTGCTTATCAAAATTATACCGTATAATGACATCTTGATTTTCCATCTTAACTTCTTAAGTATAAACTATAAAGTAGATATATAAATAATAAATATAATATATTGGAGAATAAGAGAATTAGAGAGTAGAGAGTTAAGAATAGGATTTAGGAAGAATTGGAGAAGAGATATGAAAAAATGTTTAAGATTAGGAGTATTTATAGGTTTTTTTACCCCCCACCCCCCACCACCCCCCACCACCCAACCCCCCAGACCCCCCCCCCTTTACCCCACCCAACGGCTATATAGCCGTTTGGGTTGCCCCCAGCCCCACCCCCAACGGCTAGTAGCCCAAGAACCAATTTTTTTTTTTTAAATCTTAGGACCGGACCCGGGCCCGGGCCCGACCCGGCCGGGCCGGGTCACATTAATCCAGCACCGAGCTCGCCCCGCCCATTCCCACCGGTTCGGGTCCATACCCGGTCCCGGACCGCCCGACCGGGCCGGTTCCGGGCCCGCACAGTACCGGGCCGGGCCGGGTGGCCCGAACCGAATCCAACCCTACCAAGAACCCAACGAGGTTACCCATCTGTTTCAATCACCTGCCTATTTAGAAAATGAGGTACCTGATTTAAGAACGGATGCAAAAGAAAAAGAACTTTATAAAGCGGTGGAACTTGGAAGTAGTCTACTAGTCCCTCCGTCTCACTAAGATTGTCCCAGTTTACCTTTTCGGGAAGTCTCACTAAGATTGTCTCATATACCAAATTTGGTAAAGATTGTGTGACTTTAAATCATTCTTACTTTATTCTTACTTTATCAATTTAATATCAACCACACAAACTCACTTTTCTTAATAATTGTGTCACCTTCTCTCGTCCCAATCTTAGTGGAACGGAGGTAGTATATAACATCAACCATCGAATGCAAGAAAGGTGAGGTGTTCATTTGTTGTTTTCAATTAGATTAGATTTTCACTCGTGCTACGCATGAATGACGGAATAATAAATAATTAAAACTAATATGAGTATTTATATGGATGAATGTTATTTGTGTTATTACACACTAAATTTTATAAATGTAAAAATGTAATACTGCAAAAGCATAATGCTGTTAACATTTAGTAGGAAAAATGAAATAGTTTGAATCCAAATGTAGTCTAGGCGCACCGGTTTTGATATCCTTATGTGACCGAGAGGTCATAAATTCAAGTTTGCCAGTGGCATCTTGTCAAAATTACAGTAAATCTATGCCACTAATGATATTCTTTTAATAAAAAGTCTTTTAATAAAAAGTATGATATGTATCATTCCGCCTAATTCAATATGTTAAATTCCATGTGTTTATGAGTTGATTTGATGTTTCCATCACTCCATATATGTGAATCAATATATTCCCATATTTCCATATACTCCCAGAAGCGAACCAATATTGCAGCACCCAATTAGAGATGACAACAGAGTGAATCGGGGATAATTATAGAAATAAAAGTCCCCGTCCATCGCGTAATATCTCTGTCACGTAACCGTCCTGTTATCCAATAGGTAATTTTTGTTCAAACCATGGCGGGTAATGGTATAACCCTGGGTATCCGCTTTATTAAATAAGTCATTGATATTTTAATACAAAAATTAATATTTTAAAAGGTCAAAAATGACATATGCTAGATGACTCTAGATTTCAGACGCCACTTAAAAGATTCATATATCGAGACAAGATATAAGGCTCACCAAGTAATTAATATGAATCTAAAAATACTTAAACCGAAAAATAATTAATCACGAAAAAAATATGCCAATAATCAACTATTAAAATATATTATGAACTTTCATGCAAACACTATAGTTATTACATCCATTATTCATACATACACAATGAAAAGAGAAAAGACTCACCATTTATTAGTTGTGGCACAAATAATAGATTCAATGTCATAAAAATATAAATAAAAATAAACGAGGCGAGTAATGTGACGGACATGTATAAAACCGCAACCGCCCCGTTACCCGTAAAAATAAAAAGATTATTCTCCGCCCTGTTCCCGTAATCCGGTCAATGCGATTTTCTCCGTTTGGATCGGGACAATTTGGTGCGCGTATCCATTGCAATTGTCATCCCTACGCCCAACAAAGAATTGTTCCCACGTGAAAATCCAACTTTAACCTCTAATTGGGCGAGAAAACTCAACAAAATCCCTCCTTTTGTATATACATAGATATCAACACGGACACCATGCGGATGATGCAACATTTTCAAGTGATTAAGTTGAGGTTATTTTTTGCTAATTGGTTCTTCATAGTTATTTATTTTAGTCGGTTTATGTTTTTGTGGTGTTTATTCTGTTTGAAGCAAGCTGTTGGTGCAAAAGCGTGAGAAGTATGGATGTTTTTACTTGGACTGTAATTTGCTGGTCTGGTCTGGTCTGGTTTCTTTGTATTTTTATAACTATCCGAGTCTGGTCTGGTCTGGGAAGAATTACAGACCAAGTAAAAACATCCTATGACAACTTTGTGTTGTTAAATACTACTCCTTACGTTCCAAAAAGATTGACCAAAATTACTTTTATTGATCAACGATGGTCAAATTTGACCAATGATATTTTTAATACAAAATTACTTAATCTGTGAAATTTATATGAGCATACTCTTTATTAAAAATCTTTCTTAAAAGTAAAAAATTTATAAATTACGCACAAATATAATACCTAAAATCATTGTCTAAACTTTAACACCATTGACCAAGAAAAATCAAATTGACCAATCTTTTAGGAACGGATGGAGTATGTAGTACATAGTACTTTATTTTCAAATGGTTGCCACTTGTCAGCGATACAAGGTACTCTATTATGATTTATGAGTGATAGTTTTTAGAGAAATGTTATGTGTACACGTCAAGTTGTTCACGCCATTTTACACTCACGTCATTGTACACGTTATTTTTAGAAACAAAGACAAGATTGATAATTACAATATAACCAATGACGTCAGAATGTCACACAAAAATGATTCAATTCACAATAAATGTGTACACGAAGCATGATTGTAATTTTAGATTAGTGTGTGAGAGTTGTTTGAACTGCTAGATAAATTTGTAATAAAAAATTATCCTTTTTATCTCTTTTCATGTTTTTGAGACTCGTTAGAGGTTAGAATTGAACTTATAATAGATCCTATTTGAGAACATGACTATTTTTTGCTTTATATATACGATTTTTCTTTATTAATAAATTATATTTTTACTACAGTTTTCGTAATTTAACACATCTAACCATAACTTATCAATTTTAGATTAGACAATTAGTCGATTTCAGCGGTACAAAAGAAGGTTTTGATTTCATAACTCCCAATAGATAATGTTTGACCTCTTATTAATATACAACTAGTTATGACGGGGAGTATATAATCACATTTATTTCAGAAGTCCTCAGCTATTATTGGTAATGAACAGAATCCCACGTTTCTTTTCTCAGGAGCCGAAACCTTCTTGAGAGTGACCCACTAGATGAAGGCTACATGGGAGATTTCGACAAGTAGGAGCAAAATGGTACTGATTTTCCAAAACTAAGACCGAAGATTAGCGTAAGATTTAAGCATTGGCCACAATACCCTTACTTTTAGAAAATAACAGACATTAAATAGACAATAAATAGGCAATAAGTAGACAATAAATAAAGGGAGAACTATCAAATAAGCCCTCGAACTTTCATAAAAAGTGCAAATAAGCAGGGGCGGCTTTGAGGGCAGTTGGGCCAGGCAACTGCCTTGAACCTCAACTACCAAGGGGGCCTCCAAAAAATTCTACTCCGGTATTAGTATTAGGTGTTATTCGCAGACCGCCAATACACCAAGCGGCAACTGCAAGCAGAAATCAGCTTTATAGTTCACTTTTGACTATTCGTCCTTCATCAAAGTTGTAGCTAATGAAGGCTTCTATCCAACACAACTTGCAAAATTGGATTTAAATCATCCAATAAAAATATATGAATAAAATGGTGGAAGGTCGCATTCTGAAATCTCAACAGAGATTGTATGACTTCATCGTCTGTTTTCACCTTGCTTCTCTAAGATTCTGTTGGAGATATTTAATTGTGAATCAAGTTGGTCATAGATTAGCTTTATATTTAATCCTTGTATTTAAATAGTGCATAAATTAGATAGAAATCAGGCCAAGTGTTAGGCCCATTTAAACAGGCCAAAAGCCTGGTACGCCTAACCTAAACCTCGCCTATAAAAAGGGAGCCGAGGTTTAGGAAAAGGCTGAACGTCGTACTTATTATTCATAGCCTTACGCTTATCATTCTGCTGTACGTTCCACGGTTTATCAAAGAAGGTTTTACGGTGATTCATTCTGTGTTCATATTTACGTTTAATCTTCCTTGTTAGATCGATTATTCATTGCTGTTACAGAAACAGGGACTAACAATTGGTATCAGAGCCGATCGAGA